ATAATAATCTAATAGAAGAATGATTATAAAGATCTTAGTCTTAGTGACCAGCAGGTGTGACCATGGCAGTGTGTAGGTGTTCATGTTTCTGAACTCACTGCGATGGCTCGACAGCCGCGGTTGGTGCTCGCAACCAGACAGCCTTCTGTTGTGGCCAAGGGAACCTGGAACTGTTTCCCATCCAGGTGTAGTGGTCCTGCCACGCCCACTGGGACAGGTACGTAACCAATCACATTCTCACAGCAGGTGCCCAGAACCTGAAAAACATGGTGAAAACTGAAGTCCGGAGTTGGRGTTGGCCTTTCAAGCTGATGTTTTCTCACCTTTAAATCTAAAAAGTTGAAGACTGCAGCTGGACTTTTATTCTATAGTTGAAGATGTTTCTCAGCTTCTGACTGCAGAGTGTGGAGTTCCATGTTTTAAACGGCCTGAGCAGCTAAATTCACAAACAAATGAATCCCACTCCCCTCCCAACAGGACCCTCAGACAGAGGCTGGTCCATCCTAGGACCAGAACCCCCAAAGCCAAGCTGAGCGGTGTGCCTGCAGTTCAGTGCAGTGAGGAATGTTCAGAGAAATTAAACAACCTCCACAGACATGGCTCATAGCTTTCAAAGACTTACAATACAGCACTGAGCCCAGTCACTTTCATTGTAACTCACACCTTCATGCATGTGACCAAAACATCTCTGTGAGCCAAACGCAGAGCCTGATGACTCTCTGATGGTTGGGAGGGAGATCAATCTGCAGTGAATTTAGCTGCAGACACACAACATCTCATACTGTTTAAAGCTTGGAACSCCACACTCTGAGGTTTAGAAATAAGAAAACCTCCTGGGAAGTAAAATGCCTTCAACTACAGAACAGATGTCAAGTTTTGAGTTTTTTATTTAACTTTGTGAATTTGCCAGCACTCCTCACCTTTGAATAATCATAGTCAGTGTAGGGCAGGGAGGAAAGTGCAGTAGGAGAAGGAAGCTTTGCAGAGATCATCTGTCTCCGTATGGACACTCCTCTCTCTGGTCTCTCCATCATCACCTCCAGTTTGTAAGCAGGGATGTGTTTGGAAGCCACCAGGAGCATGACCTCAGCATCACTCAGATGATGGGGCCCCAGCTGGAAAGAACTCAAACTTTAAGTTTCTATTATAACACAAATCTGCTGTTCCACATAAACAAACAAGCCCATGCAGTTCTGACTAATCACAACAGCAGCCATGTATCCATCCAATTTCACTGCCAATCTTGAGCAAATTTTTAAAATGTCGCAAAAAGAAAAAAAAAAGAATTGTGAATGAGACGTGTTTTCATCAAGGTGATTAAAATAAATAAAAAAAAACATTTTCTGTTATCCTGGTGGGTGATTATAATAAATACCAGTATTGAATCCTGGTGGACTTTAGGGGTACTGTGTGGGCTGGTTCTCCCAGAAACTGGCTTTTTTAAGCTTCAGAGCATGACTCCGCCTATATTAATTACATCATTAGTCAGGACGGAGTCCCTATTATTTTGGTCAAATTTTTGGTGAATTTTACTATTACTATCTACCTTTTCTAATGCGATACTTCAAAATGCACACAAAAATATGTTGATGGAAACATGGCTTAGAGAGCCGTACAGCCTGTGAGACACAGTTCTGACTGGTGTAATGTACTAAATAGTGTGTCTGAAATCACTGATCTGCAGTCTCAATTCATATTGAAGTATAAACCAGGCTTTCCAGATGGACGCTACACAATTTTCATAACACAGGATGGTAAACGAGACGTGAGAATGGAAGAATAAATCAGCATAAAGCCACTGTTTTGGCTTCAGTTTGTACATTGATTTTTACCAAGATGGGGTAAATCCTAGCCTGGCCCTTGCCTTCCTACTCAGTTCCACTCAATTCTAGTTTCCCTTCACTGCTCCTGTCGTGGAAATATTTATTTAACAAAGACAGAAAAATGTGGTCCAAGAATGAAGGCACTCCGTGGAATGATTGGCTGAGTTTCATTATAACAGGAACAACAGAGAACAACACAGAGCCCATCTGTCTCTCTGCTCTCTGCTCCTGTTTCTGAGGCAGTTGAGGCCTCATATACTGTATACTGTTTAACAAACATTATTATTCATCTTAATAAAGCAAGATTTCATCCTAAGGAAATACTAGGTTAAGGAAGCATTACTTCTATAATATCTCCATCTGGGATTTCTCCCACAGACAAGGATTTCTCTGGGAGAATTTCATTCAGGTCAAACAGAGAACAGAAGGAGGGGTTTTGAATGACGTTGATTTTCTTCACAGTGTCTGCTTGTAGTTTAGCAATGGCAGTGGAGGAAGTAAATGAAGCCAGTCCGTGTTGACAAGGCTTCCAAATTAAACTAAATTTGTTTAGGGRGTGGTTGTTTACAGTGCACACACACACAATTTCCGGTCAGCTTCTTAGCTTAGCTTCCTTCACAGTAAAGCTGGCGTACATGAGTAGCAGCCAACTGTTAGCGATTGGGTAAATCAGATCCAATCGTTTTAAAATTCAACCGAGGCCACGCCTCCAGGAAGCAATCGCTTCTCAATAGCCAAGAGTCCAGACCCTCTGTTCGAAGCAAAGCAGAGAACAAGGTGCTAGTTTTTACCAGGCTAAGTAAACCCTACAATTGAGCTGAATCTTTGCTGTGAGTTTGAGACATATTCCAGATGCAGGCAAAAATAATAATAATTTACATGTTCCGCATGGCAGTTTGATTTGTCTCTCTCAGTTACTCTGTATCCCCTCATCATCCTCATCTGTCTGCTCTGGTCATGAACACACCTGTAATCATTCAGCCATCACTTTCCCACAACGCTTTTTCATGTTCAGTGTCAGAACCTCGCATCATTTCCCTCTTCAATCCTGGTTTTTGTCACCTGCACTTTTTGCTTTATTTTCAATAAATGCATTATTGATCCATCTTGCATGTTTGCCTGTCACCTGCTGCTCTGCATCTCTCCAACCAACAACCCAGATTTATTACATAAATAATTACATCTCAATGTAAAGTCCTCATCCTGAAGTAAAACGATCTAAAGAGGAAGATTTAGTGGTGGCTCACCTCAGGGTTTTTAAAGATGGACACACACTCATCCAGTTCTCTAGGTTTCTGAGGAAAACTTGGCTCAGTGACCTCAGATTTGATCTCTTCTTCTTCTTCACCAATAGTGAACAAGCTCTTCTGCTGACAGTCAGTGGTGAGGGCTGGAAACGGCCGGATAACTTCATCTGAGTTTTTTTCTCCTGGTAGAAAAAGGATTAATAATAATTCATGGAAACAATGCAGAGGTACAGCAGCTTGTCTGCTCTAAAACATGACTAAGGACACGTACCTCTCTCCTCCCTGCAGGCGGGGGCAGAAATCTGGGATCTGGGTTCAGGTGGCTCTCTAATGCAGCAGGTCTCCATGTGTTGCAGGTTTTGTGTTCGAGGAGCCAGAGAGATGGGACTCTTCAAGGACAGCACAGACTCGGTCTCAGCCTGCTCAAAGAAGATGTACTTGACAGCCAGGAGTAGAGCCAAGAACAAACAGATCACCTGCTCCAAGTCCATGGTTATCATTCTGCAGGAGAAACACAGAACAGTGAGAATCAAAAAGAAAAAATAAGTAGGTCCTCTGGATGGTTCTTCTTTAATGAAACGTTTCGTCTCTCCTCCAAGAGACTTCTTCARTCTGAGAGTTTCAGGTGAACTCAGCCTTATAACCTCCGCCTCCACATGGGGGACAAACAGGTTGGTCACATGCAAAAGAAGACCATCAGCCAAACAATAGGTCGTTATTGCCTTGATTGGCTCTATTATTCATAGAGGGTTATGTGGCCCATCACCTGACTATCGTTGGGTTCCCTGATTCACAACTTTTTCTCACAGGGGGCGGAGTCATACTTGCAATAACAGCGTTGTAGGAGGAGGACAACTGGACACGAAGGGCTCCACCTCTGTTTATTGGACGTTTTTTTATTTTATTTTATTTTTTCACAAAAATGGCTTCCTTTACTCCTCTCTCAAACCAACGTTCAACTCTRTCAAGGATGAGAACATCTTCATCCGTGAAGGAGTGACCACTGGTCTGTAGATGAGTGTAAACTGCAGAGTCTTGACCCGTAGATGTTGCTCATCTATGCTAACTCATTCTTTTAAAACAGTGGCTGTTTTGTTTCCCCGATGTATGACAGATCACTGTCCTCCTGACACTTAACAGCATATACAAAGATCCTGTTCCCCGGTACAAACAGAGTAATATTGTGTATGCTGTTAAGTGCCAGGAGGATTGTGATCATTTCAGCCTGAAACATACTTGCTCCGACACCGATGTGTCGACGCGCGGTCACGTGGTTGATTGGCAGTCGTTTTCGCACAGACTTTTCATAGTCACTGAGACACCCAGCGCCGAGCTCGGGAAACTCCCCTCCCACTGAAACATACGTCACTGCATGGAATTTCTCCCTACAACAGCCGACAATCATTGCAGAAAAAAAAGACTTGTCACTCACCCAACGTATTTGCCCACATCTGTTCTGGTTTAGCTCCACAGTTTTTATCAGTCAGATTCCTCCGTGCACAATGTCTGTTTTATCTCCATTCATGAGTTTTTCACGGAATGACTATCTTTATAAAACTCTGCTTCCTGGTGTCAGCTCTGGGAGCGAGTCGGGGTTTTTTTCCCCTCTTTTTTTTTTTTTGCTGAGTGCAGCAACGCATTCAGCACAAACAAACAAGCCATGAGTTTTTCACGGTTTGATTATCTTATAAAACTCTGCTTTCTAGTCTGGGAGCGGGTCGTCCCCCCGCCCCGCCCCCCTGAGCGCAGCACAAACAAACTTCAGACCAATCACACATTACCGTCGACATGGGAGGGGGGGTCAAAAGTTCTGCCGGCAGGTTGTGCCAAAAGGGGCTGTCGACACGATGCTGCGAAGCCCGGTGACGTAATTTTCGTCATTAAACTGCGACAACCCGTGCCGACGTCGGCAGTTCGCAGGGAGTATGTTTCCAGCTTTATACATAGGGGAAACAAAACAGCCACTGTTCAAAAAAATGAGCCAGCACAGATCAGCAAGAAAAGATTGTACCTTAAAGATTTTAACCAGACTAAAAWTTTTTTTAACCAGACTAAACAACAGATTTATGATCCTGAGACCAGTTTTGTCCTGTTTCTTCATCACTGAACATAGAAAATCACCTGCTGAGGTAGAAGTGCCACAGTGGCACCACAGGCTCAATTCGTCTTGCAGAGACTTGGTCCAGGTCCATGGGAATCATTGGGTCAGTTTCAGTAGTGTTTGTGGACAAAGTTTTGGATGTCCAGCGGCTGTGGGCATGAACTATTACCAGGCCCAGAGACTGCACAAAGAGGACAGAGCTGAAACACTTTGGTTCAAAACATTCACTTTATAAACAGGAAGGAAGAAACAAAGGATGACAGGTCCTACCATGATGACTTTAACCCTCTGGGTTACAGGGTTGGGTTTGTTGTCCTCCTCCTCCATCACTCTGGAAAAATTACTCAACTGCCAGATTGGATGGCCCTCTTGACTCTCACGGGACAACTGCAACAACAACAAAATAAATAAGTGTGAGGACACAACAAAATAAAACAAAACACAACCATCACCTGACACATTCTTACCTCCAGTACCAGAGACACACATGCAGGAAAGAATGTCATGAACACAAAGTAGTTGGCTAAAACTGACATGCATCCAAAGCCACACATGATCTCCAGCTGCCGAACACCTGAAACATGTGAGAAGAACTGCAGTCATCACACAACACATTCCTGCAGAAACTGTCCAATCAGACACCTAACCTAAAGAGAGGCGAGGATGTGATGAAATTCAGAACATTCAGCTTTTTTTTCTTTTTTTTTTTTTTTGCCATTACAGAGATGCAGTTACAGACTTTAAAGCAGCAAGAAATTCAAGGGTGCTAGTACCAAAACACATGTTTTTCTTATGGATCCCTGCAGCTGCTGACCTTGGCACTTGGCAGTGATAAAAACTTCCCTGGTTGACACGTGAACAAAGGCTTGTTCCCCCATTCCCTCCCCCGTATTACAAACACACACACACACACACACACACACACACACACACACACACACACACACACACACACA